CTAAAACCCTTAAAACCTAATAATACACACAGTTGTAGCCTTTTTATGGTGGTTAATTGGCTGGCGGAGTGGAGAGTGACCTAATTCAGTTTTTCTCGTGAGCTTTTAAGTCTGTATACAATGGCTGGAGCAGGGGGTTCACAAGTTGGAGTAGGTCAGGCTTGGGAGCCGCTCAATTTGTCATGTTGCTCGGGGAGCGTGTTTACGCACCGGCGCGGGCGCGGCGCACAGTGGACCGTGTCAACAGGAGAAGTCGGACAAAATTTGGAAACTTTGAAAGCTTACAACTCCGTTTGTTCAAAATTTTGAGGTTCTAAAAGTGATTCCGTTGGTTTCCTCGTGCGATGTTCATTTTGGGACGAAATAAACATCAAAATTTGCAGTTTCAGTAATAAATCAGTGGACTGAGTCAATAGGAGAGGTCAGACAAAATCTGGCAACTTTGAAAGCTTGTAACTCTGTTTTTACAAAAATTTAAGGCTCATAAAGTGATTCCATTGGTATCCTCGTGAGATGTTCTCTTTGGGACGAAATAAACATCAACATTTGCAGTTTTAGTAAAAAATCAGTGACCCGAGTCAATAGGAGAGGTCGGACAAAATTTGGAAACTTTAAAAGCTTACAACTCCGTTTTTACAAAATTTTAAGGTTCTAAAAGCGGTTCTATTGGTTTCCTCAAGAAATTTTCTTCCATTATCACCCCTTGACATTTAAAATTCAACGAAACAAACATCAAAATTTGCAGTTTTAGTTAAAAATTTCTCGTGCAACTTCTCGAATTAACTCGATCCACTACGCACTGTGCGGCGTTGGGATCTGGGATCACGGTCACTATTGGCCGGTGCAGGAGCGTTTACGCCTCGCTCGCATTGAATCACGCCCGGGCTGGAAAGGGCAAAACAAAGAGCTGGAGCCGCTGTAATAACCGGCCTAATATAATAAAGCATAATAGTAAAAACATAAAGGCATAAAAACACTGTTATTGGCTGTAAATGTACTCCTTTTTAACAATCCCAGCCGGGCGTACTTGCTCCCGCCCACTTTAACCCCGGCTGCTTTTCCGTTTATTGTCTTTGAAATTTGTGGCCTTTTTTCGAGCTCCGCCGCCTCGCCTCGCCGCCGTAAATTCTGCCGGCCGCACGTCGACGGGTCGTTACCAAAGTCCTCGTTTCTCGTTCGGGGATGCGCGGATAAGCTCGGGATTTTTCATATTCTTACAACCGCGCGAGAGCCCGTATTTTAGAAGCTTCGTTGTCTACATTGTAACTGAATTTGGTTTTTCCACGAAAGCTTCTATGGCTTCTTTCGCTTTTTGGAATTATTGAAACTGGGTTACGGCGTTTTTCCCTAGGACAGCAGTAGATTTTGCGCGGATCATATAGATGGTCAGCCGTGTAGCCACTACTAGGCTTTTGCTGTGGAGACATGCAATGGGTCAGTTACGCTAGTCTCAGAATAGTATTTTGATGCTTGGTTCTTGTAAATTAGCTAAAAATAATGAGATCTGTCCCAACAGCAACTTTCTACGTTCAATGTTAACCGAGATATCGCGCTTTGAAAAATTCGTTTAATGGCGTAATCTACCGCGCCAGTAACACTCTTGGTTTCCTCCAACTTGCTTTTATCCGAGTTCACGTTGAGTAACCAGCGCAATGTGTTTCTCCCTGACTGATGCAAGTAAGGTGGAAGAGACCAAGGGTGCCACTACCGGCGGTGGATAACGTCATAAACCGAATTTTTCAAAGAGAGACATGTCTCGGTTAATATTGAGGTTGCTGTTTGGACAGATCTTATTATTTTTAGCTGATCTATAAGAATCAAGCATCAAGCGATTCTGTGACCAGTGCAATCGACCCCATTATTGAGAATAGGTTATGACGTTTTTCTTTAGGACGGCAGTAGGTTTTGCGGGAATCATACACTGGAAAAAAAACACATTGGATCTAGAGCCCAGACTCCTAAAAACATCGACAAGAAAAAATACTCTTGATTCAATCAGATTTAAGCTTAAATCAAGAACCAAGCCTCTTAATTTGAGCGGATTTCCTTTTGATTTAAGCTTCAATCTGATTGAATCAAGAGTCCTTTTACTTGTCAATGTTTTCAAGAGTCTGGACTCTAGATCCAATGTGTTTTTTTTTCCAGTGTATGGATGGTCAGCCGCGTAGCCACTACCAATATTTTGTTGTAAAGACATGCAATTGTATCTGATTCGAATGAACAATCCAATCCAAAACCAAAATCTTCCCCTGCAACGAATTTTGAAATTGCTTCTCCCTCGTTATTTCGCAGAGATAACGCGATGACGCACAAAGGGAACGGATTAACCCTCGCGATGCACAACAAGGAGGAGCAACTCGCCTTGCTCAAGCTCAAAGCTTCGTGCGTGGAGAATAAAAGGTGCCGCTACTCCCGCGCCACCCCCTCCTCCTCGCGAGGTAATAAAATTAATTACAATGGTTATCCCATTGATTTATTCGAGTCGATTCTTGTTTCGGCGTCGCGGCGGTTCATCCTATCACAGGCGCCTGGGCGCTCGAGATCTGACGGAGATCGCGCTGTTTCCAGGCCTCACCGCCCACCCCCACCTTCAAAGCTTAGCTGCCGACTGGGACAGGGAAAATTGAGTTTTCGCTGATATCCTCTGATTGAAAAATTGGGAAACTTTTGCCCGTTTGTGGGGGAAGGGACCCAAATGAAGAGAGGAGCACTGGAGAAAAAAATCGCTTGGATCTAGAGTCCAGACTCTTGAAAACCATGACAAGAAAAATGCTCTTGATTCAATCGGATTTAAGCTTAAATCAAGGACCATGCCTCTTAATTTAAGCGGATTTTCTTTTGATTCAAGCAAAAATCCGATTAAATCAAGAGTATTTTCTCTTGGCGTAGTTTTCAAGAGTCTGGACACTAGATCCAGGCGACTTTTTTTTCCAGTGAGATTCAAAACTTGGCAACAGCCATCAAGTTTTGCTACGACTGAACATGATGTTACTCTTTTTAAAATTAATTAAATGCCTTTGTTTTTTTTTTATTTTAGTCTAAAAATTTTGCCTAAATTTTCGTCTTCTTTTCATGACAAGAATTGTAATCAGGCCTCTTTGTTCCTACTAAATAAGAACAAATAGTTGCACATTGTCGGCTACTTCGCGCATGATACCGGAAGTTCAGGTCATTTTGTCGTTCCCTCCATGAAAGATCGTAACTATATTTCAATGTCGCCAACTTTCCCCTCTCAAATAGGGTTTTAACTTGGAAACTCTCGGGCATTTCTCACTAAAAATTTTACTGATTTTCCATTTGATCTCGTGCAAAATTCGGACAAACGGACAAAAATTGCGTCACTGGTAAAACAAACCTCTTGGTTCAAGAGTGCAGTTTCTTGTTGCCGGATTTAAAAGTGTGGACTCTGTTTCCATGCAAAATCCGCTTGAAACAAGAGTTCAAGACTCTTAAATCCGGCGACAAGAAACTGAACTCTTAAGTCAATGCAATGCGGCATTGATTGGTCCGAGAGGTTTTTTTTACCAGTGTATATGTATATATTTGGAAAAATTGAATTGTTTGGGAAAGTTTTCTTTTCCTTGAACGGCCGTAAATTTTCAAATGATCAACTGGCTCAGGCTGACGAAATGAATCCGGTTTTTATTTCAGCGTTAGCTAAAATATCGTGCGAGTTTTAAAGGACTCAGGTGCAGAGGTTGATGTGAAGTCAGTACAGTATGCATCGAGTCAACTTCCGATGTGAAATGAGCACAACTTTTTTTAAAAATAAAAATGTTGTAAAGGTGCCTTAAGTTTCCTATAGGATCGGGTTGCGTACAGTTACGTTGCCCGACCGTGCTAAAAGGCCGAAGTGTGAATATTCGATTATCGATTCCCCATTTGAAGCTATGGAAAAGAATCGATTATTAAGGTGCCCGTTGTGAACACCTTGTCTATCGATCCTTTTCCGTGGGTTTAAATGGCAGTTCAATCGATATATCGCAAAGCACGCCACGCCACTGAAGGCCGAGCAAGGTCGCTCACCGCTTCGCCGTGTTCTGAAACTCGTCCGATTTTATTGGCTGCAGGTCGTGCGGTGGTACTTAGGGCACAAGGAGGAAAATCAATCGGGCACCTTGATAAATAAGTAACTAGCGGGAACAGCGTGTAACTATCCTCGTGGTTGTTTTCGGGTACACAAGCTCAGATAATTTTACCGTAGGATTTTATCGGATTATAACTTTCCTTGATTGCACCTTTAAAAGCGACGGAGGAATGCAGCTTCGCAAGTGCAAGACAACAGTGATAGCAGGGTTATCTCTTTATAGCCCGCAATGTCAATACCGTCATGCGCCGTGACTATCGTAAGGGGTGATTCTAAACTGATAGATAACGAAAATTCAACCGGTCTGAGCCCCGTTGCATAAATGGCATTTTAAGCGCTCAGCTGATAACGGAGGCTTTTCGTATTCAACCCGCCTTTAGCATTCCATAATAGTCGAATGTTGCAACGGTGAAATGGCGTGAATATCGTCTCCAAGATGGTGAAAAAGTGTCTTACATTATCGGAAAAGATTAGCGCAAAATATCATCCTTAATATCTGCAATTTGCTGAAAAAGCAAATAACATTTCCAAAATTCTTCTCGCTGAAAATGTTTTTTTTTCTTTCTATTTTTCTTTATTCAGCTATCGAAAAACAAAGACGTAACCTTTTATCCTAACACTTCGGAAACTTTTTCTATTTCATTCGAAGCTAGCGAAAATTCGTCCTACCGTGCTACATAATCTTATTTTACGTTTGTAATGAAGATTGCGCGCTGTTCTTGCAAATCTTGTCTTTATCATTCGATTCATCAGTCGATTAATTTAATCTCTTTGATAAAATTTGATAAAATAATTTATAATAAAATACCACCAGTAAACGACCTCGTTACGTGCATACATCAAGGAAAAATCCTGTCATACTGAAAATGTTAATCATGAATTCTAATTATTATTTTGATATTATTTGTTTCAGTCTCGAGACATCTGAAACTGACAAGTCTGATCCAGATGACCACCATGAATCAAACTCTAATAACCCCGTCAATGTTGAAAATGACTCCGAAAATGCCCTCAAGAACGGAACTTCTGCTGAAACCGCTGGAGATACGTCACCGAACGACCAACCCAGCTCTGCTCCACAGGAAATTAAAGGTAGATTAATCTTTAAAAATGTCTACTAATTCTTTGTGTTTTTCTTCTTCTTATTCTGCCTCTTCTTCGTATTCCTCATTTTCTTTACACTTGCAAGTAAAACTTGGATGTATTTATGCTAAATGGAACTATGTGCAAGTGGAATGATGGGATGTGCTAGTTAGTGCTCGGGCTATAAGAATGAATGGGGCTGTAAAAAAAGCGCCAGTGACGTCAGCGGCAACGTACGAGGAGCCACGACTGGGAGATCGGTGGCGGGACTCTTCAACTCACGAGCCCTGTCCACAACGCTCTTGTCACATGCCCACGGCTCAAGAGATAGCGCTCAGTTCCTTTTGATTTAATGTCAAATCCCACTTCTCCATTTTCTCAAAAGGAACTTTATCCTCTTTTACATCGTTTCTTATGCAGCTTCCACGATCAGACCCTATCTTTCCCCTTGCGCATAGTTCCTTCTCGCATAAATACGTCCAATTGATCTTCTTTGCATTACTTTCATCCCCCATGACGTATGCGAATCATTTTCTGGGAGACTGACCGTTATAACCCGATGGAAAAAGACCAGGAGAAATTGATTTGAGCCTTTATCTTGGATTTCATCGTTGCGAAACTGGTCTGAATTCATTCGGCCGATGGTCGCGCCGCCGCGGATAACTGAGCTGCCGTTGCGACCGCTGTGACGCTGCACTGGACGTCAACGGCACGTCAAAGGTGACGTAACCCAAGCCGTGCGTACCCACCTAATCGGGTGCTTCTCGGAGGACTTTTGAGCGGAGACAGGGCAGGATTTTCACGTGATTCACTAGCGACCACGACCAGATGCACGGAAGGAATGCGCCCGGAGCAGCGGTCCACGCCAGATTGAACTTTTCGACGTGCATTCGTCAAGCCGGAGCAAAGCTTCGTTAGCCACAGCGATGCAACATCCACTCCGCTTCTTCTTTATTTTCTCGTAGGGACGTCTGCAGATCCATGATTCATTTCTCGTCGATGAAGGGTGGTATAGAGTACCTATGTATACAGGAGAGAATTGCCATCTCAATCATTTTACTACAGGACAAGTGTGCCGCTCTCTGACTGGTCGGCCTTCATGGAGCCCCAAAGTTCGCTCAATGTAAACAAACCCCAGCCCCTCTGCTCCTTGTTTGGCCCAATTTACACTGAAAAAAGGAAAATACGTTGGATCTAGAGTCCAGACTCCTGAAAAAATTGACAAGAAAAAGGACTCTTGATTCAATCAGATTTAAGCTGAAATCAAAAGGAAATCCGCTCAAATTAAGAGGCTTGGTTCTTGATTTCAGCTTCAATCTGATTGAATCAAGAGTATTTTTCTTTTCGATGTTTTTAAGAGTCTGGACTCTAGATCCAATGTGTTTTTTTTTCCAGTGTAAACAATCAAGATGAGGACAAAGTTCTACAAAGTTCTAGACATGGTTTTGGATGTGATGGACATTTTTTTATACGTTTTGTATTTTATTTTTGTACACGTAGTAAACTACAATCATACCTGAAAACTCTACAATTTTTAGAATCAGACGAAAGTGCGTGTTAATCCATGGCAACAATGAGCTTTGCGCACCAATGACACGTCCTACCGACTTTGCGTTTCAGCTATTTGGCTTTCTTTGCGATAAATGGATTGATCTGCAATTTAAACTTATAGTAAAGGATCGATTATTAGGATGTTCGATTGTTCGCAACGAACACCTTGACAAACGATTCTTTTCCATAGCTTTAAATGGGGGGAAATATCGATAGTCGATGCGATAGTCACTGCGTTTGCGTTTCCGTAGTCGACCCCGCGATCCTCCTTCAACCCCGTACCCGTCTTCTCTCTGGCAGAGTTCCCGCCGGCATTCTCCTGAGGCACTTACCCACTCACTAAGATGTCACATTTACCTTCATACCAAATTTAATCAGAACGTTGTTTTCGACCCTCATGATATAAAGCGTAGGCTTACATTTTCGAATGTCTTTCTCATGAAAATTTCATTGAAAAATTTATGTTGCTTTGAGAAATGACGCCTCACAAGTTTTCATTCAATTCCGAATGCGAGGAGAGTTTGTGCTTTATTGGGTTTTCCGCGTAGGTATCGCTCTGGAAAATGATATCTCGTTTTCCCTGAAACGACGCGCGTTTCCTGCAGAAGAAGGTAAAAGCACGAAATATCTAAAGGGTTCAAATCCAATTATTTCATAATAGAAAATATGAGCCAATGGAATATAAATTTTGAAATGTGTGGCTAGGGACTCTAGAAATGCATTGACGTGCCCTCCGATTCTACCGCGAGGGTGATAGCAAATAATCTCCGAGTAGATTTTTGAATTACCTGCCAATAATCCCCCTTGCCAAATGACAACTCACGTTGCTAATTTTTAAATAATAGTTTTCGTCGTAGGAAGCATTCCTGCCAAATTTTTCAATTAATAATTCAAATCAATCAAATCAAGACCAACTCTCCATGCAAAGATAGGGAGCAAATACATTGACAGGGCTGCCACTTTATTTGGGGACTCCAAAACTGAAAACACGGCAACCCTGCTAATGTATTTGCTCTCTATCTTTGCATGGAGAGTTTTTTTTGGTGTAGAGGTGGACTCTCAGGGTAGGGTGGAATATTCCCTCCATTTTGACCTCATCTTGAGAGCTTTTTTTGAGCTTGGGAGATTATTTCAGAGAAAACCAGTGGCACCATCGTGTTTCTCGCAAACTTATACATACGAATCATTGTCAAATCGCAAATCCCTCACACATGCAACATCTCCATTGCCTCTGATAGTTCGTAGCGTATTCCGTTTAAACCTACTAAGACTCAACTTTTGACTTTACGCTTGAGTCTGAACTTTTTGCACGCGACCTGGCAACTAAAGTTAAGTGTCAGTGTCGCAGAAAACTGGTTCGAGCGGCTCGAATCGCAGCAATGCAAACAATAACGTTGTCCGTCATTTTGCCCCACGAACCTCAGGCCGACGGAACGGAGATGCTGCGGTACAGTTGCGAGTTTTGCTCAATAAACGTCGTGAAAACTTTAAGGCTTGGGCTGACGCAAGGATAGAGGATTATCTAGAGAAGATCTCCACATAAAATGAAGAAAAATAACTTGTTCGCTTTCGCAGCAGCAGCAGCAGTTGCACCCTTACATGTTGAAGTTGAAATGCTGAAAAAATTATATTCACTGGAAAAAAAAACACATTGGATCTAGAGTCCAGACTCTAAAAACATCGACGAGAAAAAGTACTCGTGATTCAATCAGAATCTAGCTTAAATCAAGAACCAAGCCTCTTCATTTAAGCGGATTTCGTTTCGATTCAAGCAAAAATCCGATTGAATCAAGAGTATTTTTTCTTGTCAATGTTTTCAAGAGTCTGGGCTCTAGATCCAATGTGTTTTTTTTCCAGTGTTGAATTTTTTTTGTAAGTCTGTTGAGTGGTGAGCCAAGATGTCAAAGGTGGTATACATTCGTAGAGTACAAAATTAATTGTGCACTACCATCTTCATGATCAACCTACTTCTGGAACCTTACGATCCTAGGCATTTTGGAACCACCTTTATTTTTCATGAAACACTGCAAAAAATATACTAATTCCGTTACCTGCCCAAAGTACCCGTTCCACAATTGAAAACAATGTGTATAGATTATTTGACCAAGTAAGCACCTTTTAAATTCAATCACTGTTTCAAAATTCAGTAATTTTTATTGTCAGTATGGAAGTTGCAAAATTTACTTCTCGAGACACTTTTCCACAACATTTAGTTCAATTAGGTTGGAGAGCCAAGTGCATAAACATCTTGTATCTTTTTTGTGGTCTTGAGGAAAATATATTGAAAGTTGAAAAATTACACGGGGCCCTCTGACCTTAAAAAACTTAAATTGTCAGACCAATTTTACGACCATCAACTTTTTACGTGACTTTCTTAACGTGACGTATCAATTACATTATTCATCAAAAAAATCATTTATCATGCCAATACGCAATGCCGTAGATGTAGGCGGATTCATGGGGTGCCGTAGGGGTCGTACGCCCCGCTCCCTTATTCGTCTGAAAAAAAGGAGGAAGAAGNTCTGCTGACGGAGACAAGGAGTTAATAAATTTTTTAAATTTGTAATTTAAAAATTCTTGTGTTCTTTTCTTTACTATTGCATTTAATCTGTTAAATTTTGAATTGTCTTCAGGAAAATGGGTGAAATTTGCTTTTCTTTTGGTTTTTCTTTTTAAACGAATAAGCTTTAGAAGTTCCTTTGGGATAGCGTAAGGTTTTATGTTATTTACAGCTACAGGTGTATTGGCTGCTGCACAGGATCTGATATTTTCCACCAGCAGCTCCGACTCCCTGTCAATATCTTCTGGAGTGAGGACTGGAACGCTGTTGTCAATTAAATTTTCTAGATCTAACCTGAAATTTTTCCAATCTGTTCTTTTAGAGCAAATTGAGGGGGGACGATTATCAAGGATTGGAGTAGTAAAAATCTCCAGAATGATTTTTGCATGACCTTTTTCCATAGACATTAAGGTATCACATGAGACGTGGTCAATAAGATTTATGTTTTTAAAAACAAAAAAGTCTATTAGATCAGGTTGGTGGCCTGGATTAGTGGGAAAATTTGTCGGTTTTCCGGGGGATATAAAATTCCCGCCAACCAAATTAACTGCTTCTAGGAGTGATACGCCTTTAGGGTTATCTCTCCTGGATCCCCATCGAGGATTTTTAGCGTTCCAATCCCCACCGATCAGATACTTTGGGCCTAATTCCTCCAAAAACTCAGTGTAATCCTCAGTTGAGAGGATGTTACGGGGTGGAGTGTATATTGAGGCTATGTGGAAAGAGTCTAATTCAGTTTGCACGTTTACGATTACAACTTGAAAAGCATTTGTCTCTATCAACTTGATAAGATTGTGAGTAATGTTTTCTTTAATTAAAATGGAAGACCCACCTCTGTGCTTATTTGCTGGATGAAATGAGTTAAACATTTTATATCCAGCAAAATACCTTTTATAATCGGTCCTGGTGAACCAGGTTTCCGATAATAGGGCTATGTCCACATTGAAATCCCTTAGCGTGACATTGAATTCTTCGGCCTTCACCCGGGTCAGTCCGCCGCAATTCCATGCCATAATGTTTAATGACTTGCAATTAGTCTTTGCTCGTAGCTCTTTAACATCATCGAAATTGATTTCTGGATAATTTTCCTGTTGAGACATTAAGAAATTCTGATTAGTCAATGAATCACAATTCAATTTAAAAAAGTCATTCATTTCTTTGTTTATCTTTTCTGGCTAGCTTCAAGTTTACTCACTTTCTCGGTGAGAACTCTGAGCTGAGCATTCAAAGTTTCTATTGTTTGTAATAAGACACCGATCAGAGCGGCAGAACTGTCTCCTGCGCCCTGTGTTGCCGGATTAGCTGTATTGCCTGATAATGCTTGAGCAAAAGTCCTATCTAATTTCTTTGGAGGAGCATGAGTTGTTATATTTTTCCCTAGTTTCGGAAAACTTTTTTGATCAGGGGAGTTTTTCTTAGCTTGGAGTTGCTTTTTTCGTGCAACTTGAAATTCTTTCGCGAAGGGACATCCGCGATAACTCGCGGGATGACCGATCGCGCCACAATTTACGCATTTTGGATTTAAGATCCGACCTTTAAAAGGACACTCAGGAGATAAATGTTTGCCTGCGCATTTGACACATCGTGGATTTTTTCTGCAAAAGTTGTGAGTATGCGAAAAACACTGACATCTTCGGCACTGTGGAACTATCTTATTATCTATCTTCATTGGCTCTATTTGAACAATAGTATGAGCAATTGCTTTGATCTTATAGATGTTTTCTATTGATTCTGAATGGTCAAAATCAAGTTGATGAACTGGTATTTTTATGAGTTCGAATTCCTTGATAGGTTTAGCATTTGTAGTTTGATTTTCAGATGTTGTTACCGAAGGGGTAGTTTGAAGGGGGGTAGCAGATTCAGGATCAGTATCCATAGGCATAATTGTTTTTTCATTTTTTTTCTGTTGTTTCTCTACTCTTTTTCTCATGCAAACGGCTGATTTAATTTTGAAATTTTTTGAAAGGAGATCCGAGACAATTTCATCTTCAGGTATGGAGGGGGGGAGACCTTTGCATACAACTTTGATGTTCCGAGTGTTTTTATTGGAGTGAGAATACCATTGTACTTCTCTTTCGTTTAATTTTTCAGAGATTTTTCTGAAAGTTTCGTCGTTAGAGGGATTTACCTTCCAGGTTTCACTACCTAAAAATTTTAAAACATACTCTTCTTTATCAGACGCTTCTTTCAAAAGTCGCTTAATTTCCTGATAATCTTTAATTCCTACCACTTTAATGGGAGGGGGTGGTAGAATTTTTGGGGACCTATCATTAGGATTAGAGGTATTAGACTTATCGCCAGGCTTAGAGTTATTCGACTTATCCTGTGTAGCTTGGACGTCTGCTCCACTTCCAGAGGCGTCTTTGGAGTCCGGGCTGGATTGATCCTGCTTCCTTTTCCTCTTTGTAGTTTTTTTAACTTTCTTTGCCGCCGTCCTTCGTTGGTCTTGATACTCCGGATCTGAATTGTAGTTCGGCCAGTCACCTGATGAAAAATCATCATCCGTTTCCGCATCTAGCAGCAGGGCTCCAAATTTCCCGCCGTTTTGTTGGGGAATTTCCTTGTTGACAGTCACGAATGTCTTCCCCTTATTTTTAGAGCCGCCGGCCACTTGAGGTTGCGACTTATTTAGTTTAAGCTCCTTAATTTCGGCCTGTATTTTATCCATGAGGGCCTTTTGCTCTTGGATAAAATTTTTTGCAAGGATGTTTTCATCGTGCAGTGACTTAACAGCAGAAATCGACTGCAAAATAAACAATTTTGTCTTCTCATTTAGTGCAGGGTCTCCCTTGACACTTTCAGGGTCTGTGGTTAGAATTGTCTCTACCTCCCCTTTATTCGAACCGCCAACGCTGTCCGGAAGGGGTTGTGCGCTTAAACCTACTAAGACTCAACTTTTGACTTCACGCTTGAGTCTGAACTTTTTGCACGCGACCTGGCAACTAAAGTTAAGTGTCAGTGTCGCAGAAAACTGGTTCGAGCGGCTCGAATCGCAGCAATGCAAACAATAACGTTGTCCGTCATTTTGCCCCACGAACCTCATGCCGACGGAACGGAGATGCTGCGGTACAGTTGCGAGTTTTGCTCAATAAACGTAGTGAAAACTTTAAGGCTTGGGCTGACGCAAGGATAGAGGATTATCTAGAGAAGATCTCCTCATAAAATGAAGAAAAATAACTTGTTCGCTTTCGCAGCAGCAGCAGCAGCAGTTGCACCCTTACATGTTGAAGTGAAATGCTGGAAAAATTATATTCACTGGAAAAAAAAAAAAACACATTGGATCTAGAGTCCAGACTCTTAAAAACATCGACGAGAAAAAGTACTCGTGATTCAATCAGAATCTAGCTTAAATCAAGAACCAAGCCTCTTCATTTAAGCGGATTTCGTTTCGATTCAAGCAAAAATCCGATTGAATCAAGAGTATTTTTTCTTGTCAATGTTTTCAAGAGTCTGGGCTCTAGATCCAATGTGTTTTTTTTTCCAGTGTTGAATTTTTTTTGTAAGTATGTTGAGTGCTGAGCCAAGATGTCAAAGGTGGTATACATTCGTAGAGTACAAAATTAATTGTGCACTAACATCTTCATGATCAACCTGTTTCTGGAACCGCACGATCCTAGACATTTTGGAACCACCTTTATTTTTCATGAAACACTGCAAAAAATATACTAATTCCGTTACCTGCCCAAAGTACCCGTTCCACAATTGAAAACAATGTGTATAGATTATTTGACCAAGTAAGCACCTTTTAAATTCAATCACTGTTTCAAAATTCAGTAATTTTTATTGTCAGTATGGAAGTTGCAAAATTTACTTCTCGAGACACTTTTCCACAACATTTAGTTCAATTAGGTTGGAGAGCCAAGTGCATAAACATCTTGTATCTTTTTTGTGGTCTTGAGGAAAATATATTGAAATTTGAAAAATTACACGGGGCCCTCTGACCTTAAAAAACTTAAATTGTCAGACCAATTTTACGACCATCAACTTTTTACGTGACTTTCTTAACGTGACGTATCAATTACATTATTCATCAAAAAAATCATTTATCATGCCAATACGCAATGCCGTAGATGTAGGCGGATTCATGGGGTGCCGTAGGGGTCGTACGCCCCGCTCCCTTATTCGTCTGAAAAAAAGGAGGAAGAAGAAGAGAAGAAAGAGAGAAAAGTAGGTAAGGGAGGAAAGAAGAAAGAAATATGTTTTTTGTATATGCTCATGAATAAATTCACTCTAACTGCACATTCAATACTGTAATATTCATTAAATTTTCCCTAACCCCCCTTCTGCCTTCTGGGGTCTCGATTCGCTTAGGGCCATAGACTCTTCAACCAGGGTTGAAATAAATAAAAAATCTCCGCAGAAACGGTCACCGCTAGAGGTTTACTCTGTATGGTATGAAGTATTCGGAGAAGATTTGCGAGGCGGGCTCTTTAATTGGCTGAATCCCCCCGGGTTACCGCTCGGATCATCCGGCCGGCATCATTT